TTAAGTTTGCTATATTTTTTGTAAAATACTTTAAATTTTTTCCCAATCTTCTTCCACCGACTCTTCTCCCTGGTCTTGGATTCTGCCAAGTCATTTCCGCCAGTTCCATGTAGTCCATCAGTTTCTTCTGCCATTCTTCCCGGGTGGGAAGATCTTTTTTTCATTTGCCAAGCCAACAGTTTTTCGCACTTATGTGCCGATTCAAATGTCTTTTGTCTCATCTGTTTAATCTTCCATTCTATTTCCTGATTCATCATTTTCATATATTGTACTTGATACAACTTTATCTCTTTCAAAATCTCCTGCGACTTTGGTTTCACCCTTAATTTCTCCTCTCCTTCCTTTATCTTTTCCAGGATTTTGTCTTTTTTCTCATTTTGCATTCTCTTCTTAATTGCATTCTGTTGTATCAAAAATCCTCTCATGACCGCTTTGCTTGCATCCCAGATTACTCTTCTTTCCACAGCTAAAATAGGCTTCTAAGCAGCGGACAGACGATAACAAATAATGTCCAGGATTCACCTAGCCAGCCCTCTCTGCTGCAAAATGGGGCCTGCCCCCCACTCCTCCCCCTCTCCATGCCACCATGAACCCCCTGAATTTTGGCTCTAGGGGCGTTGGAAGGAACCTCTCCAGAACAACTCACGAGGAGAGGAGAAAGTGGATCCTTCCATCGGGGGAAACTGGAATGCTTGTGTAGGCAGAAAAACGTAAACATAAGCTGGAGTACCACCTATTTGCAAAAAGACGAATAAATGCAGAATAAAAGATTCAATTTAAAGCGTTTAAAATAGGTACCCATAATAAAAATGTGCAGCAAAGGCAATCCTATTGAAATAATACAGCAATTAACAGGAAGGAAATAACAGAGCATTGTGTAGCAGATCCACATTTCTCCCGTCTCATTTTTTTTTTTTTTTGGAATAATATTTTATCTAGAATTTTCCAAAAAAGTTAACATCAACAAAAATCAACAAAAATCAGAAAAACAAACAACAAACATCGAAAATCCAAACAAAGAAACAAAAAAAAAAATACAAAGGAAAGAATTTAGCATAAAAGAAGAACACTCTTTTATATTAATAACTTTCAAAACCTTATTCTCTTTACTTCCACCCGCTTTCCCTTCTCGTATCTACTTTAAAAATTAGTTCAGCAAGATCGTTCATTATTCATTTTAAACCTTTATCCCTCCCTTTATAATCTTATTTATCTTAATCGCTAGAACCCCTTCATTTCATTTTCAGAGCCTTCAAACATTCATAAATTTTACAATATTTTTGTAGATAAACTTTAAACTTCTTCCAGTCCTCTTCCATCTGCTCCTCTCCTTGATCTCGGATTCTGCCGGTCATCTCTGCCAGTTCCATATAGTCTATCACTTGCACCTGCCACTCTTCCAAGGTGGGTAGGTCTTGCGTCTTCCAATGCTTTGCTGTAAGTATTCTTGCTGCTGCTGTAGCATACATGAAAAAAGTTCTATCCTTCTTTGGCACCAATTGGCCAACTATGCCCAGGAGGAAGGCCTCTGGTTTCTTCAGAAAAAGTATACTTAAATACCTTTTTCAGTTCATTATAGATCATTTCCCAGAAGGCCTTAATCCTTGGGCACGTCCACCAAAGGTGAAAGAATGTTCCTTCAATTTCTTTACATTTCCAACATTTATTATCGGGCAAATGATAGATTTTTGCAAGCTTGACTGGTGTCATGTACCACCTATAAATCATTTTCATAATATTTTCTCTTAAGGCATTACATGCCATAAATTTCATACCGGTGGTCCACAACCGTTCCCAGTCAGCAAACATAATATTATGACCAATGTCTTGTGCCCATTTTATCATAGCCGATTTAACCGTTTCGTCCTCTGTGTTCCATTTCAACAGCAAATCATACATTCTCGACAATATCTTAGCTTTGGGTTCTAACAATTCTGTTTCCAACTTTGATTTTTCCACCTGGAAACCATTTTTCCTGTCCAAATTGTAGGCCTCTCTTATTTGAAAGTAATGTAACCAATCCTGCACCTTATTCTTAAGTTTCTCATAACTCTGCAATTTCAACCTGTCCCCTTCTTGTTCCAAAATTTCCGAATATCTCGGGCCATTTAGATTCCATATTAAGCTTTTTCACAGCTTTAGCCTCCATTGGCGACAACCACCTAGGAGTCTTACTTTCCAACAAATCTTTGTACCTCGTCCAGACATTAAATAGTGCTTTCCTGACAATATGATTTTAAAAACCTTTATGAGCTTTAACCTTATCATACCACAGATATGCATGCCACCCAAAAGCATTATCAAAACCCTCTAAATCCAAAATGTCGGTGTTCTCAAGAAGTAGCCATTCCTTCAGCCAGCAAAAAGCTGCTGCTTCATAATATAACTTAAAGTCTGGCAGGGCAAACCCCCCTCTATTCTTAGTATCAGTAAGGATTTTGTATTTTATTCTGGGCTTTTTGCCCTGCCAGACAAATCTAGAGATTTCTTTTTGCCACTTCTTGAAACAGTCCATCTTGTCAATGATTTGTAACGTCTGAAACAAAAATAACATTCTTGGCAATACATTCATTTTTGATAACCGCAATTCTACCCAATAAGGAAAGCTTCAGATTTGTCCAAATTTCAAGATCTTTTTTCACTTCCGACCAACACTTCTCATAGTTATCTTTAAATAAATTAACATTTTTTGAAGTCATATTCACCCCTAGGTATTTCACTTTTTTCACCAATGATAAACCTGTTTCTCCCTGAAACCTTTCCTTCTCAAATCGATGTCAAGTTCTTCTCCAAGACCATTGTTTTCGATTTATTCAATTTAAAACCTGCCACCTGGCCAAATTCTTGTATTATTTCCAAAGCTCTGTTAGTACTGGGAATTGGCTCCTGTAATGTCAATACTAGGTCATCTGCATATGCTTTAAGTTTATATTGTTTAACTCCGACCTGTATACCCTGAATCTGTTGGTCCCTTCTAATCATGTTCAGCAAGACCTCCAGGACTGAAATAAAAAGCAGGGGGGAAATTGGGCAGCCTTGTCGTGTCCCTTTCTCTATCTTAACTTCTTCTGTAACTGCATTATTCACTATTAATTTTGCCTTTTGTTCTGAATAAATCGCACCTATACCGTTTCCAAACCTTTCTCCCACCCCCATCCCTTGCAGGTTTTTCCTCATAAAACTCCAAGAAATATTATCAAAGGCTTTCTCCGCATCAATAAATATCAAAACAGCTTTTGTATTTATATTAACTTGCAATTTTTCCAAAATGTCAATCAAATTCCTTGTATTATTTGACATATATCTGCCTGGAAGAAAGCCAGCTTGGTCTTTAAATATCATTCCAACTAAAACTTTTTTCAGTCTTTTAGCCAAAATATCGGCAAAAATTTTGTAATCCACATTAAGTAGGGATATAGGGCGGTAGTTCTTAAGTTGTGTCTTTTCAGACTCATTTTTCGGTATTAGTGTGATATAGGCCTCTTTCCACGATTCCGGCGCTCTTTTCCCCTCCATAATTTCATTACAAACCTCCATTAACGGTTGAATTAAAAAGTCTTTCAAAACTTTGTAATATTTGGAGGATAGTCCATCCGGGCCTGGAGACTTGCCTAGTTGCAAATTCTTTATGGCACCTTCAACCTCCTGTTCAGAAATTTTTTCATTCAAAATTAGTTTGTTCTCTTGAGATATTTTTTGTAGTCTATTTGTTTCTAAAAATTTCTCAATCTTGATCTCATTCTGTGGCCCTTGTGCGTACAATTGTTTAAAGTATCTCTGGAAACAATCTTTAATTTCCTTTGGGTTTTGTATGTTCCTTCCATTTACTTCAAGATTAGTCACAGTATTTAATTTTTGTCTTTTCTTCAGCTGCCAAGCTAGCAGCTTTCCACACTTATTAGCCGATTCAAAGGTTTTTTGTCTCATCTGTTTGATCTTCCATTCTATGTCCTGGTTAACCATTTTCAAATATTGTGCTTGATATGATTTAATTTCTCGCAAAACCTCCTGTGACTTAGGTTTAGACCTTAATCTCTTCTCTCCTTCTTTTATTTTCTCTAGAATCTTTCCTTTTCTATCCTCTTGAAGTCTTCTCTTTATAGCATTTTGCTGAATCAAAAAACCTCTCATTACAGCTTTACTTGCGTCCCAGATTCCTCTCTTTTCCACCGTAGTTTTCAAATTTATTTCAAAATAATCTTTTATAGTTTTTTGGGCCTTTTTAATAATTTCTGGATCTCTAAACAAGGTGTCATTCATTCTCCATCTGAAGGAACCAATCGGTGTTAATTTCATTTCCATTTTCACAGGGTTATGGTCGGAGCAAGTTTTTGGACAGATTTCCACCTTTTGAATCTTGGGTGCCATCCCTCTTGTGATCCAAATTTGGTCAATTCGTGTCCAGGTCAAATGGGCTTTCTGCCGTCTCAGAGGAGGACATTTCCCTTTTTCTTTTAGGGTCCACTGTGCTTTGAAGATGTTGCTGTTCATTTCACGGACGAGGAGTGGGCGTTGCTGGATCCTGACCAGAGAGCTCTGCATAAGGACGTCATGGAGGAGAATTGGGGGATCGTGTCCTCTCTTGGTAAGCCTCCGTGTGGGATCGTCCTATCTGCCAGGAAATTCAAAAAATACCTCTATGTGACAAACCTCATATATTTTCTCAGCGCCCCCTACAACACCTGGGAACCTAACACCCCCACAAGAAATAGTAGATTACAGTTTTTTCTGTGAACAATCTTCCTCCAGTTCTGCCTCCTTCTACCACAGTTTGGATGATCTGAAACTGCCCAGGCATCTTAAATGTCAGCTTCAGAGTTGTTCGGAAAGATAAGTAGCTTCTGTCAGGTTTTCTGTTTTTGTTTTTGCTGCTGTCCGTCTTGGGTTGACCAAAGAGACTGACACTGGAGATGGAGGGGATGCCATGACTGGGCCAAAAAACATCTGTCCCAGAGAAGAGCCAGGCTGATTGAATCTCAGGTAGTACTAGCAGTGATGATAATAATAGTAGAAATAATAATTTTTATGTATACCCTTACCTTCTGGTTGGGTTGCCCCAGCCAATCTGGGAAGCTTCCAACACATATACAGTCGTATTTCTGGTTGCGAATGGGATCCGTTCCAGAGATCCGGCCAGATCCCGAGGTTTTCACAAGACAAGGATCACTGTGCATGGATTTGTGGCTTTCATAATCTGATGTTTATATAATCCAGTGTTTCCCAACCTTTTTTGGGCAAAGGCACACTTGTTTCATGAAAAAAATCTCGAGGCACACCACCATGCCAGATGGGGAAAGGTCACTTTTTACTTATGTAAAAAAAAATAAAAAAATAGTAACAGCATAGAAGGTAATGGTTAGGCTAGCATCCCTCTTCCAAATATGCTAGGTTTTTATTTGCAGGGACTGTTCTACATGGGAAAGCATTCAGCACTGTCATTCTCCCATCTGCCATCTGAATTGGTACTATTCTGGGTCAACTTACTCTGCTGCATGTGTAGATGAAAATGGCACCAAGTGTGGGGGAGGGGGCAGAACAGGTTTCAGATACAGGATATTAAGCATACACGTACTTCAGATTGAACTGGTTGCTTGCTTTGCAAGTTTTCATTTCCCAAATGACTGCCTTGGCAAGCGCAATACCTACCAGGCTCAACGCCGGTCTCGCGCTGCTGCTTCCCGCGCTCTCAAGGACCCGGGAGGAGGAAGGCGTGAAGGGAATCCCGAAGGCGCGAAAACCTCGCGCATGCGCAGGCCTTCCGCCTGCGACAGCCCAGTAGGCCGGAAGAAGCGAGCGGCGATGGGATGTGGGAGGGAGCTCGCTCGCCGCCCCGCGTGTGCCTATGTGGGGCACGTTACAGCCCCGTGACGTCAGCGCCACGCAGGCAGCCAGGCAGGCAGACGGCGAGAGCCCCGCGCTGGGCGGCCTCTCCTCGCCGCCGCCGCCCCGCCTCTCGCCGCCCGCCTCGCCCGCCTCCCTCCAGGCAACATCTCGCGGCACACCAGGCAACGTCTCGCGGCACACTAGTGTGCCGTGGAACACCGGTTGGGAAACACTGATATAATCCAAGGGTTATGTAACCTGAGGTGCTACTGTATAAACATGAAACAGTAATAATAACAACAATCTAATCCAATGAAAAAAGTACAAAAATTTTACAAAAAGTACAAAATTTATAAAATGAGTAACTTACTTCAAACAAAGCAACATTCAACCAATGATTAGAATCCAATAATAAATACATTGGTTTATTACAAATAACAAATGTAATGAACACTGCCTTCTCTACAACAAATTTAATGAGCATTATTCCCTAACTGGGGGCTCCATTTGTTCCTGAGGCTCTAATCCCTTTTTCTCTCCATTGCAGATTGTGATGAATTGGAAAGCAAGAACAAAGGTGAGCACAACACAATCTGCAGAGTGGAGAAGGCACGTAAAAATTTGGAGTGTGGAAAGAGCTGCAGTCAGAGCTCCCATTCCAGTTCCCATCAACGAAATCTCATTGGAAAGAAACCCTATCGGTGCACGGAATGTGGAAAGAGCTTCAGTCAGAGCTTCTCTCTCATTTCCCATCAAAGAATTCATACAGGGGATAAATCCTATCACTGTGTGGAATGTGGAAAGAGCTTCAGTAGCAGCTCCAGTCTCACAAAACATCAAAGAATTCATACAGGGGAGAAACCCTATCAGTGCATGGAATGTGGAAAGAGCTTCAGGATTAACTCCGATCTCACTAGGCATCAAAGAATTCATACAGGGGAGAAACCCTATCAGTGTGTGGAATGTGGAAAGAGCTTCAGTATGAGCTACAATCTCACTTCCCATCAAATAATTCATACAGGGGAGAAAATCTATCGGTGCATGGAATGTGGAAAGAGCTTCAGTAGAAGCGCCGATCTCACTAAACATCAAAGAATTCACACAGGGGAGAAACCCTATCAGTGTGTGGAATGTGGAAAGAGCTTCAGTATGAGCTCCCATCTCACTTCCCATCAAATAATTCATACAAGGGAGAAACCCTATCAGTGCATGGAATGTGGAAAGAGCTTCGGTATGAGCTCCAGTCTCACTTCCCATCAGATAATTCATACAGGGGAGAAACCCTATCGGTGCATGGAATGTGGAAAGAGCTTCAGTAGAAGCACCGATCTCACTAAACATCAAAGAATTCACACAGGGGAGAAACCCTATCAGTGTGTGGAATGTGGAAAGAGCTTCAGTACGAGCTCCGATCTCAATAAACATCAAAGAATTCATACGGGGGAGAAACCCTATCGGTGCATGGTATGTGGAAAGAGCTTCAGTATGAGCTTCAATCTCACTTACCACCAAATCATTCATACAGGGGAGAAACCCTATCGGTGCATGGAATGTGGAAAGCGCTTCAGTAGAAATGCCGATCTCACTAAACATCAAAGAATTCATACAGGGGAGAAACCCTATCAGTGTGTAGAATGTGGAAAGAGCTTCAGTATGAGCTCCGATCTCACTAAACATCAAAGAATTCATACAGGGGAGAAACCCTATCAGTGTGTGGAATGTGGAAAGAGCTTCAGTCACAGCCAAAGTCTCACTTCCCATCACAGAATTCATACAGGGGAGAAACCCTATCAGTGCATGGAATGTGGAAACAGCTTCAGTATGAGCTCCAGTCTCACTAAACATCAAAGAATTCATACAAGGGAGAAACCCTATCACTGTGTGGAATGTGGAAAGAGCTTTAGTCAGAGCTCCCATCTCACTTCCCATCAAAGAATTCATACAGGGGAGAAACCCTATCAGTGTGTGGAATGTGGAAAGAGCTGCAGTATGAGCTCCAATCTCACTTCCCATCAAAGAATTCATACAGGAAGAAACCCTATCAGTGTGCGGAATGTGGAAAGAGCTTCAATCAAAAGTCCAGTCTCACTTACCTTCAAAGAATTCATACAGGGGAGAATCACGGAATTGTAGAATTTTTGAGCTTGAAGTGATCCCTGGTGCAATCTATTTCACCCCTTGTGATGCAGGCATTGCAAGTAAAGCATCCATGACAGATGACCATCCAACTTCATTTGAAAACCTCAAAGAATGGAAATTCCAGCACTCCCAAGGGAGTCCAATCCACTAACAGCTCTTGCTGTCAAAAATTTCTTCCGCATGTTTAGTCAGTCTTTTTTTAAAAAACAACAACAACTTGAAGGCATTGGTTTGTGTCCTACCCTGTGGAGCAGGTGTCCTATTGGGAAGACCTAGTTCTCCGATTGCATGTTCTGGAAGTTGGGCAATAGGGGCAGTACAGGATTCCTTTTGGTGTACCGACCTCCCCACTGCACCAAGGATTCCCTGCCTGAGCTGCTCCAGGTCGTGGCGGATGTTCTCCTGGAGACACCTAGTTTGGTTGTCCTAGGGGATTTTAATATCCATGCCGACATGACCTTACAAGGGGCCGCTTGGGACTTTGTGGAAAGCATGGCCTCCATGGGGCTTTCCCTGAATATGTTTGGCCCAACTCATAGCCATGGACATGCCTTAGACCTGGTGTTCACCTCTATGGATGTTGGTGATCTGACACTAAGTATAAGCGAAACTAAAGAAGTGCCTACCAAGTGGTGATAGTGACGGCCAAAATGTCTTTCTTCACTGCCTCTATTACATCTGCGGGGGGAAAACAGCAGGAGACTCTTTCAGGTGGTTCACAATTTAGCAGTACGACCTGCTCCATTAGGGCCCAGTACAGGCCACATGATCTCCTGCAATGATTTTGCAAAGTTTTTTGCAGACAAAGTCGCTCAGATTCGAGAAGAAGTAGACTCCACCATGGGAGCAGGGCGGGAGAGTGCTAGAGTCCTGTCTAGTCAAGTTGTGTGGGATCAATTACAATCTGTTACGCCCGAGGATGTGGACAGGCTGCTTGGACGAATGAAACCAACCACTTGTCTCCTTGATCCTGGCTTATAAAAGTGAGCCGAGAAGGGCTGGGCGATGGGCTTCGTGGGGTGGTGAATGCTTCCCTCTGTGAGGGAGCCTTCCCAGACCCATCTTTAGATGTGGCCACGATGGCAAACTATCGCCCAGTCTCAAATCCTCCATTCTTGGGCAAGGTGACTGAGCGAGTGATTGCTGAACAACTCCAGGGAACCAGCCAGACGGCCTTCTCAGTAGTGGCGCCCTCCCTGTGGAATGCCCTCCCACCAGATGTCAAAGAGAACAACAACTACCAGACTTTTAGAAGACCTCTGAAGGCAGCCCTGTTTAGGGAAGCTTTTAATTTTTGATGTATTAGTATTTTAATATTTTATTTGAAGCCTCCTAGAGTGGCTGGGGAAGCCCAGCCAGATGGGTGGGGTATAAATAATAAATAATAATAATAATTATCATTTTATTTTCTTACTCCTGTAGTAACCTATGTTATCCATCATTTGAGAACCACGATATTCTTCTCCCTTTGCTCGTCTTTCATTTTTATCACAGTCTTTGAACTCTAATACTTTGAAGGAGCGAGGTTTTAATTTCATGAAGTGAGGCAGCTCATCCTCTATTAACAGTCGTAGCTGAGATAGGAAGACCATGTTGAGGGTCTGGAGAGAGTGTTCAGACGGGACTTAATCTGGAGGGAGAAGCTGTGGGAAGACTCTTCTTCTGGGGTCTCCTATTCAGGAGGGGAGAGATTTTCTAGGAAAAGGAGATTTCTGAGTCAGTAAAAAGGACTCAGATGATCCCCTGGGTCTGGCATACAAAGGAAAATACCTCGGAAGTGGAACTGCTTAGAGATTGGGGAACTGAGGAAAAGTGGCCCCTCGCTCACAGACCAAAGTATGAAGCCATGAAGGAAGCTGGGCTGTTCTGTCATAACTAAGTGAGGGAATGAGAGAGAAGCAGCAGAAACAGAGTTAAGCCTTTTAGCATTTATTCTGGATACCTGAAGTGTAACAACTGATGTTGAGAGGAGGGAGTTTAAGAGAAGCTGTGCCTGTACAGTGGTACCTCGGGTTAAGTACTTAATTTGTTCAGGAGGTCTGTTCTTAACCGGAAACTGTTCTTAACCTGAAGCACCACTTTAGCGAATGGGGCCGCCGAAGCACAATTTCTGTTCTCACCCTGAAGCAAAGTTCTTAACCCGAGGTACCATTTCTGGGTTAGCAGAGTCTGTAGCCTGAAGCGTATGTAACCTGAAGCGTTTGTAACCCAAAGTACCACTGTAGTACCTTGTTTAATCCTGTGACATTTAGCTGAAGTAATAAGTTAACGTCTACCTGACAGAGGCCTTCCAGAATCTGATTCAGAGCCAAATTTGGAGACATATGTCACACAGACAATTTCAGAATGGATGGGAGAAAGCAAAGATTGGTTGGATGGGCTTTCAGAGAGCTGTTTCAGAACTAGATCGCGTGAAAATTAGAGAACGGAGGCACCCAGGAGATGTTTTATTAACACTAGTAACAATAAGAGTGAAGGACGCAATCCTTCAGAACAGTTTTTGAAAAAAATCATGTGGTTGCTGGACAGAAAGTAGATATCTTTAGAGAGATTCCACTGAAATTGAGACTTAGAAGAACCAAATATAGATATTTAACAATAGCACTCAGGAGAGCTGACATCAGATATAAATGGGAATTCCCAGAGGGCATTTCCTTTACATACACGAAAAGGAGATACAGGCTAACATCAGAATTTCAGAGAATCCTTTGACAAATACAGGAGTGACTTAGATTCCAACTGCTGAAAGGCACATACGGTGTTTTGTTAGATTGGGAGACGAAAGATGAAGAGGTGAAACCAGTTATGATTAAATGGGCACAACATATGGGTCATAATATTATTGTGGAAGATTGGGAAAGGTTATGGAAAACCGATTTAAAATTCACAGAGTGTTCCTTGCTGAAAGAAAATTATATGAAGTTGATGTATAGATGCTATATGACACCAGTGCAGTTAGGAAGAATGAACAAAACCAGCTCAAATATGTTTTGGAAGTGGAAAGAAAGAGACGGGACATATATATAGTGAATTGAAGAAAATGTTCCAATTAAAATTTGTTTAAAAACCTAAGGCATTTTTGTTAGGGATTGATGGAAAATCGATGGAAATCACAGAATTGGCAAAATTGACACACAACTACATGACAAGGATAACTGTGATTTTAAAGATGAATGGGAACCCTTTACAAAGTACATAAAGAAGCAACAAAATGAACTGGACTCCTTGGCAGGTTTTGAATAAACATTTACAAACTTTTTATTGATAACATTTAGACAGATAAATTAAGGATCTATACAGTTTTGTAACATGCAGAAAATAACATATGTTGATAAACCAAGAGAGAAGCTGAGGGAAGTCTTGGGGGGAGGGAGGGTGGGTCAGGTTTTTTGGAGAGGGGAAAAATAAGGGGGGAAATTTAAGGATGATATGTTATTTG